GGGCAAGAAGGTGAGGCGGGGGCTGGGGCCGCGCCGGGCTGGTCGGAGGGGCTGTTTGTGCGGGCTTTTCCCTTGGAAAGGTGTCTGCTCAGGCCGGGGTGCGGCCGGGGGTGCCACGGGGGTCCGGCAGCTCCGCTGGGCTCCGAGAAGTGTGGGCACCGTCGGAGCTCAGTCTCTCTTTTACAGGACGATGAGCTGAAGTACACTCTCAGGCGCCTGGTGGAAGGACTGGGAGCCACCCGAGAGGCCGCCCGCCCAGGCTTCAGCTTGGCCCTGGCACAGGTCAGTGTGTCCCAGAGCAGAGCGCTCTGCGGCCCCTCACCAACCCCAGTCAGGTCCCGGGATCCTGCTTTGCTGTTGATGAGGAGGCTGGAGGGTTCCCCTGGGGCACCTTCGCATGCAGAGGGCAGAGAAGGCTCTTGGAGCAAGTGCAGAAAGACCGTGGAGTTTTAAATGGTGTGAGTCTGTTTTTAGAAGCAGTTATAAAGGGTACAAGCTATACCAGTGTCACGCTTATGCTACAGAATTCTGTCCTACTTCAAGAAGCATCCTTAATTTGCAAAGTTTGACCAGGTTTTCATACATTTAGAACTATTGTGACTTCTTAAAATTTACTTGCTCCTGATGTTGAGCTGTTTTTTTAGGGGATCTAAAAAAGCAATCCTTTAAAACACACACACACACACTTTTCTCCCTGCTGTTGTCCTTTAAAACACACACACACACACACACACACACTTTTCTCCCTGCTGTTTGAGTGTCTAACATAGCTGAGAGTCCCAGCAATTGGGATCGCCAGTGAAGTCTGACTCCATTTCACCTAACAAGTTGATAGGGGAGAAGAGCCTGTGTTCTTCCCACTTAGATCAGGGACTTGTTCATGCTGAAAAGTCTTGTTATGTCTGTTACAGGGTCATGTAGTAGCAGCAAAATGTTCTCATTATTAATCCTCCTGTGTCATGTACGGAGGGGAAAAAAAAAGGGAATATTGGCAGGTATATTTATGTCTATACTGGTTCTTTTTCTGACACGTCTTTTACTGATCTGGTTGTCTATTCTGGGCTAATAAAGCAGCAGATCAGCTGCTGTGCTGAACAGCTGTTCAGCTTTATTTTGACTGAACTCAATATTAACTTCATAAAATGGAAGAACTGCAAACTGATCTGTTCCGTCTATCTCCTCAGGTTTTGCAGGTGTTTGAGGAAATTCCGATGTGCAGTGTCCTGGAACAGATAAAAGAAAAACACAATCTGGAAAAAGTGAAAAAAGTGAGTTGGATTACAGCAGCATTGGCCGACAGCTAGTTTAGATTAACCATGCTAGATTCTTTGAAGGGTTAGTGCCTGAATGCTGTAGTTTTTTGGGTTCTTGCTAAGGCAAATGACCGTAATGAAATAACAGAAATATTTGTAAAAGCTAGAAGTCGATGACATTGTCATTTGGCCCTGTTTTAGCAGATGTTTGTCCCTGTGATGGAAAGATAATCTAGGACAGTTCTTAAACATAGTGCAGGGCCTTGCTTTTCAGTGTGTTCTCTTCATATGCCAGGGTGAAGTGGATTTTTAACCCCCGCCTTTTTTATCTCCTTTCAGAAACTTGTGAGAAATGCTGCTTTTGGAAATTTTTTTGGAGTGATGGCTCTGTTTCAATGTGGCCGACTTGTTAAGGTACCATTACCATTGCTATGTTGTTTGTCAGTACTGGTTCTGGGGCTGTCTGAAGTGGAGAGGACCTAGAGAGAAAGTCTGGGTCATTGGATATTGGATGAGATGGGATTTGAAGTACCAAGTTTGGTTAATTTATTTTGTGTCCATAGACTTTTGTGCCTTTTAAATGTTCCTGACTAGAGTGTAGGAACCATGTCAGATAGTACAGGAGACTCCTACCTCTCCTGGAAGGAAGTGATCTGTTGTCATATACAGCCAGAAAACCCTGCTCTGCTTCTATCAGGAAGCAATTGTGTAGGTTTCTTATTACAAGTAGGCATAATGTTCTCAAGAGTGGATTATTGCGTGAGCCTTCAGCTTAATCTTTGATATATGTCCTCTGTTTCTGGCTTTTCTTTCTTTTCTAGGACCAGAAAGCTCTGTTGGAGAGCATCCAGCTTCTCCAGCAGCTGACACATCACCAAGCCCATCTCAGAGATCTCCCTCGCAAAACTCTTATTGACATCATGTCTGAGGTATAGCCAGAGCACGTGGTGGGTGGGAGGAGGGGGGAAACTTTCTTCAAGGACTGCTTTTTTCTTAGTTTGTTCATAGTTGGAAGTTAAAGGGAGTGTGCAGAAGAGTGAATTTAAACTGTGGAAGTAATTTCCTGTATGGTCTATGTGCATATTCTGGGAAAGATGCTCTGTTTTAGCTTAGTCTGATTTCACCATGGATGAGGACTACATTTTATCATGTAGTAGGTTTTTTCCCATTTGACTTGCTTGGGTGGTACCTTAGACCCTCTGCTCTTTTGAAGAGAAGTATGATGAAAACTCTGGCCAGCAAACCTTTTTATGCACCAAGCCTGGGTCTAAGGTTGAATTTTAGGCTGCTGTGAGTGAAAGGATGTGGGGACATGGAGTAAAGGAACTCTGACTCTAGAAAAAGAAAATTTGTTTATTGCCTTCTTTTATGTGGATGTTGTTTGTGGATGTGAAGATTAACAGTGTTAATTCAAAATTAAGTAGTGTTTTGTATTGAGATGTTCTGTGTCATTTAGTCTTGCTATTGGATTTAAATGTATTTTGAATCCAGTCTTTAAAAAATATAAATTAAAGCAAGTTTTGTGCTTTTCTTATTTTACTGATGAAAATGATGGATCCAGTTTTCTCTAAACCATTGAACACAGTTTTTTACCAGCAAACCCTATTGAAACAAGTAACTTATTTTTGGGAAATATAATTAAATCTAATACAAGCATGTTTCCTCTTCCCTGGGCTGCGTGACTGTACAGACAGGAGCAGTGGGACAGCAGAAGAGCAATTGTAGCTAGAGTCAGTTGACTAGAATTGCTACCTGATGACAGCCTGGGGACTGTATGGCAGTACTGGACACATCCGTTATTTATTTATTTTTGGTTGTCACCATAAAGACTGTTGTAAAGTTTCCATAACACTGCAAGTGTTTAGTAAAATTTCATATAATGCAGATATTTTAATATGCTTCACAGCAAGTTAGTAAAATATCTTCAGCTGTTTCTCATATACTTACCCCTTCATTCCTGTCTAGGTTCCTGAAACTCTGTTTGAGGAGGTCCTGTTTGACATCTTAAAGAGTGACCTTGCTTCAGCCTTCACATCTCCAGACAACCTGCATCTTTTGCTTGTGGGCATACAGAAATTCCCTGGTGTTCTGAAACCTAAAAATCTGAAAAAGCTGTTTGGCTTGCCTACTGTTTTAAATGAGGAAAATATTCCCAGGTAAGTTCTTGAATAAGGAGCATTACATACAACATTCTCGGTCTCTTGGCTAGCAGTGAGAGTAATGTGGCTTTCATTCTGAGACCTGTCTGTATTTGCTGCTGCAGGTGCTGTCAAGGGTTAGGGTTATCTAACTGTTATGCAGGTTCCTAGATGATAGCTCTGTCATTTCTCCCGAGAGACACAGCCTGCTGCACTCAAGAGATGTTCTGTGTTCTTCAGCA